CTCGGAATATCGCCAATTCCGTCTTGATATGAGCCTTCAAAACGCTGAAGCACGCTTCGATGGGGTTGCACATTGAGGAGGACGGCCCCAAGCGCAGCAACTCCATGTCAGCGTGCTTAGTGACGCGATCCTCGGTCTGACGATGCGCAGGAGCTTTGTCCATGACGATCACGACCATCTTGCCCTCATAGTACATCCTAAACTCCTCAGACGCCTTGACAGCCGCGTCAGTCTCCTTCACAAAAGCAGCATTCTTGTCCATACGAATGCTGCCTCGTTGAAGTCGGAAGGTGACGAGTCCAATGCTGAACGACACAGCACACTGCACCTGCAGGTTCGCGCCTTTCGAAGGCGGCAGCTTCAGGACAGCTCGCTTTACTCGCTTAGCGCGTCCTTTTTGACGCTTCAAGTGCACATTAAAATTGGTTTCGTCATAATACCAATCAGGGGTTAGCATTATTCTTAATAATAGTAATCTTGGGTAATACTAATAATACTACTATTTGAGTATTACTACTATTAATACCCCTATGTACAGTATTCACTATGAGTATTAGTATTACTCACTCAAGGCGGTACTATAGTACTTTCAGACTACTACTTTCAAAGGATCCGGAACTGAGTGGCTCTCGTCCCTCGTTGCAGGGAGATTGTCATTCTCCCATTTGAAACCAAACTGTCAGACTGCTTGTGAGCATGGGCTGTGCTGTAAAAGGCTGCCAAGAAGACAATGGGCTTAAGACGGACCCGTGCAGCGTGTGTGGGAAGCCGACACACACATGTGTGCTATTGGAGTTTTCGAGGGCTCTGACTCGGCGTTGAATGATAGGTAGCGGTCTTGATTTCATTTGGATTGTATTGCTCATACCCCTACTAACACTTCATTACAGATTTTGCAGTCAGACTTGTGTTAAAGTCACCCACCCAAGTGTGAGCAATCCCGTCCACGCTCAATTGACGATTAGTAAGCGTCCTGCACGCTCCAGGATTGCCTCTTAAGCCCATTCAGCTAACATTTGGGATGGATCTGACTCCGACTTTGTCCTTTCGCCAGACCCACCTTCAAAGGGCGACGATTCGTCCTGTGGGCATCCGGTCAAGCGTCGTAAGACTACTACGACAGCAACTTCAACGGTTGCTAAGATGAAATCCGCTAAGGTTATTTTGACTACCCAGCTGAAAGCTGATAGCCACCTCTCGACGCCACTAGACTGCTCTCCCGCTGGTCCAATATCCGAGCTTGGTATTCCACTTTCGGTTCGACACTCCAGAAAAGCAGGTAGTACAGATGAAGTCTGGGATCTAATTCACACGTTGGATGTTCCATACAAGAAGCAGAACCCCTGGAAACCGTCCGTCGGTGGGTACCGCAATATTTGTCTACTGTGCTGCCAAGATATTAAAGGTCGTGTCAAAACAAACCGCTACTCTTGGGAAGCGGCGCTCCGCAATACCAAGAGCTCCAGCAACGCGAAAGACCACATCAAGGCTAGGCATGGAGACCACTCGTTGGCAATACGAGCCGAGCAGACAGCGACAGAAAAGTCGAAAGCAGATATCGCGGCCACTGAAGCAGAGTCACAAGCGGTGTTAGATCTAACTGGGGACGCCGAAGGTGGATCTATCACGTCTACGATAGACGGTAATGCTTCTAATGGAGCAACAGGAACAAATGTGGCTCAAAAGCGGTTCTACCGGGCGAATGAGAAGACGCTGAACGTTCTCATTTCCAAGTGGCTAGTCAGTCAAGGTCTTCCGTACACAGTGTGTGCTTCAAAACCCTTTCACGACGTCATAAGTTCTGCTACTGGTAATCCCTCCTACCCGATTTTGAGTCGTGAAAGACATGACCGGCTACTCAACGGCCAGTTCCAGTTGTTTTGCGACCTGGTTGGTGATTTCGTGAATGCTGAGTTCGAGAAAGCCTGTCGACTTAAGTTCTTAAACCTGATACATGACATTTGGACGAGCAGTGGGGAGGATAGCATCGTCGGTGCATCACTAGCATTCACCGACAGTTTGTGGAGGTTTCGGTTTGTTGCTGTGCTGGCAACTGTAAAGAACGATGGCAACAAGGCTCCTGCGGTGGCCAAAGTCATCGAAAGTGGTTTGAAGTCTTCGCACGATCTGGATATTCGTGCCATGACTCGATTTACGATGTCCGATACTACTCCATCCGCAAGAAACGTTGCTGATCATATTGACACGGATCAGGAGGACTAGACCATGCATCTACTGAATCTGTGCATTGGATACGGGATTGGTCTTAAAGACAATATCCAAACAACCACAGTCTGGAACGACACTACAAACTCATGGGATAAAATAGTCAAGACGGTCACACCAGGAGGCGCTTTTGATGAAGGCGGAGCTGTGATTCAAAAACTGCGGGACTTAAACAACCATTTTAAGTCTTCAAAGCAGCGCGGTGCATTAGAGAAAATCCAGGAAGCTCTGTCCTATCGATAACTCGATCCAACGACAGACAAGGATGTACGTGTCGCCTACACTTGCAAAGTTATTCGTCGATCAGTGGTCAACTACTCAGCCTACGAAGCCTACTTCCAGTCCACGAAAGATTCGACGAGCGTGTGGACGGCGCTTTCTTCGATGGACTGGTTGCTTGCAGCTGAGATGGAGGCAGTTACAAGTTTTGTAGCTCGTCTTGCATTGGTCGAAGCTCAAAGTGATAATCTGATCTCGTCATTCATGGTCGTTTTTCGCCGCCTCGCTGAAAAGAAGCTCAAGTCATATAAATTCGATGACATGGCTATAGAACCACCCCGCGCGAAAGAAGCAAACGAAGATAGTCACCGACGGTATGTAAAGACGCAGGCTCAATTCTCGGGTCCTGGGAAAACATGCCTGCGACGTACACTGCTTCAACTGCAGGCACGCTTCCCCAGAGTCACGAAAGAGGCGATGCTATTCGTTTTGTTAGACCCGCGGACGAAATCGAGCACAAAGAAACTGGCAGCCGACAGTAGCATTCCGCGCAAGGAAGGTAAGGCGGCTTACAAAGATAGCTACGACTTCTTGCGAGATGAGCACCGGCAAGTATTCGCGCAGATGTCTAAGCAAGGCAAAATTCCAATGTCGCAACAGGCTTCGTCTCAAAGCAGTATGTTCAGTCAGAAATCAACGTCGCCATCATCCTCGCCGTCATCTACGGGCTGGGATGACGAAGACGAGCTTCTACTTGGAGCTCCGATACGGGCCCGCAAAACCAGGGAGGAGGTGAAAGAGTCTGAAGTAAATGCGAGAGCAGACGCAGTCGTGAAAGATTGTCTTGAACTGGAACCAGAGTGGCTAGGGGTTGCACAACAGCAGAACCCCGACATGTCGAAAGAAGATCTGTCTAAAGACATGACGACAGACTCGCACAACGGAATGTGCTGGGCACTGCTCGGTCTGTACAGACACGTGGACGTTTTGAGGTGGTTTCGTGAAGAAGGAAAGTCCCTGTTTCCCTCAATTGCGCTGCTTGCGCGCATTCATCTCGGGAAAGTCTCCTCGTCAGCGTTCCAGGAGAGGGTGTTTTCAACTGGAGGAATAGTAATGGGACCTCTTCGAACCCGGACGGACAGCAGACGAGCGGAAAAACAGCTACTTCTCCGTCACAATCGACAGGAGATCATGAACTTGAAGCACGATGCTCGCAACGCTATCGAGCCCAAAGTAGTACTTTGAGTAGTATACTAGTATTACTAATATTACTACCGCTTCGAATAATCGCTATTAGTTTAAGTATTACCGCCTCCGAGGAGCCCAGGTAGTACCAGTAATACTAATACCGGGTTTTGGAGGGTACTATTAACCCCTGTACACAATACAGTTACCTTGTTCTTGGTGTTCTTTGAGCCGTTTAGCGAAGGCTTGGCGCTTTAACAGGTTGACTTCACTGTTGCAGGTTGTAGGCTCGACACACACTTGTTTCACAGTGTACAGCATGCCGATGAGGTGACGGCTGATGGTGGCCGTGCTAACCTTCACGCCACAATCGAGAAACAGCATTGTACGCAAGGTTTCGAGGCTGTACGTACAGTTTCCGTCAAGGCACTGCTCCAGATACGTTTTAGCCTCCTCCGTCATCTTGGAATGCTTCACGCCACCACGGGGAAGGTTTTCAGCTCGCCCTCGAGCAATCAGGTCTCGAGCAGTTGAGGGGACAAAACCATTGTTCGCAGCCTGTGACGGGGTCACACAGCACCTTGCGCTAGAGGAAGTTATCTTCCGAGAGTATACACACTCTCAGTGAACGGCAGTTCACAGGTCCCCTCTTTTTTTAAAAGAGAGCGAAGTGACCTAAATAAGGTAGATTGTAAACTGAGTATATTTATAGGTAGATAAAGTTTGGGTTTAATACAAACTATAAGTTACCTATAGAAATGCAATGTCATTTAACCAATGGTTGGCTTTGAACGACCTTGGTACCTTGTACCAAATATCTCGGAGTATGACGTGTCATACTCCTGAAGTGTGAAGTGTCACACTTCATGTAACCAGGGTACACTTAGGGCTACGTACCCCGTTACACAGTCAATCTGGGAGTCTGGACTGGTACGCTTCCAGGACACGCTGCTTTTCAGCAACAGTATGATGTTTGTAGAGGGGCATCTGCGTAGTTGAGGGTGAAACGAGAAGTGAGAGTACGTCGGCTGACATTGTCTTGGACGCGCTGTTTTGGCGCGAGCGCAGCACAGCCTTCAATTTTGGCGCGCACGGATTTGTGTGCAGTAAAAACGAATTTGCTTGCAGATTTGGTAATTGAAACTCAGAAATTTACGTAATTGAATTGTTCATCACGGATTTGATTGCCGTTTAGAACGAATTTGAGCGCACAAATGTGTAGACCTGGCAAAGGTGTATAATTAAGTCATCTCGGTATTATGATGTTTAGCTTGCAATGAATGTGCATTTTATAGCTGTCTCTACAGAACGTAGCATACCGATCAGCCAAACATGATAATGATGACAGGCATGTGTCAAGGGTGCTTTGTTTACCACTCGGAGACTGCGTAGTCCTTTAGGAACTGACCGAATAGCGGTTTTTCAGTGTTGCCTTCTTGATGTAGAGAGAAAATCGGGTCGAGAACACGAGCGGCAGCGTCGATCTCGTCCAGTGGCGTCTGGAAGTTGTGAGTATCAGCAATGCGAACAGCCACGTCGCGGGGGTTCTCGTCGTTGATCCAGCCCTGACGGTAGCAAGTTCAGTTAGCTTTAAAGCGCAGACCAACGAAGAGGATGTTTCTTACTGTGTCGACACTGGACATGTAAATGTCTTTCTGGGCAAGATCTTCAGCACACGTTCTCGTCATCATGTTTGCCGCAGCCTTAGCCATGTTGGTATGCGGGTGATTCGGCGTCTTGGTCCGGTAGAATTTGCCTTCCATCGCACTGACGTTAATGATAAAGCGGCGTTCGTTCGAGCTCTAAGCATGACACATTCATCAGTGATAACCAAGCCAAGGAATACAAAAAAACTAAATGTTTTTGGTACCTTTTCGAGGAGAGAGATAGCACGTTTGTTGAGGATAAAGGGCGCCATCGTGTTAATGGCAAACACTTCCACCAGCTCTGCGTAAATGCACATAATACGTCGTGAACATTGATAACAGTACCAAGACTCGACGCTGTCAAAACGTACCCATCGTTTCGATCTGGTTGATTTTCTGGACCCACGAATTCGAGGTGCGCAGGTCTACCTGTTGCTGGTTGTTATCCACTTGACCCTTTGGAAACAAAATCTCTGTCTCCGTAGAATGTTGGTCTTCAGAAACAAGAGCCATCTGCGATAGGTGCACGGATGCAGGCGCAGATGTTGACCCAATATAGGTCGCTGTCGACGAGGCTCCACTGGTGTTAACCATTGCCGTACCGTTGACAGACACGCTGTCACTCTCACCTGAGACATTACCAAGAAGGTTTGCATTGCCCCGCAGAATCTGGTTGACCTTAGTCATGTCTTCCGGGACTGGTGCTACCTCGCACTCAATCAGATGTTTATAGTAGTGCACAGGACGTCGAATCGTCTGAGTGGCGTTGTTGATCAAGATGTCGAGACTGCCATGAGTCTCTTCAATATGATCCATAAACTTGTCAATCACACCCAGATCACGGAAGTCCATGCCGTAAATCTGCAGTCGATCCTTCCAGACTTCAAAGTCCTGCTCCTTGACATACCGAAAAGCAGCATCCTTGGGGAACCTCGTCGTGGCCACTACCGTCGCTCCACTTCGCAGCAATTTCAGTGCAATCTCGTAGCCAATTTTTACTCTCGCACCCGTCACAACTGCAACATGTCCACGCAGATCGGCATTTTGCAGACGCTTCTTGTAGTTAAGTTCGGCGCAGGAAGGACACAATCGGTCGTAGAAGTGATGCAGCTTGCGGAACTTGACTTTACACGCATAACACGCGCGATGGTAATGTAGTTGCTCCGTTTCTTCCTCTTCTTTCTTCTCTTCTTCTCCCTTCTCCTTCAATAGCATCGGTTCGTCCGCCGCGACTCCGTCCGGAACATTGGCCAAAAGTGGATTCTGCGTCTGCAGAGCCGCTAACCGCGCGATTCGTTCCGCACGCAGCTTAGTATTGTTCACGTATTGCTGATCCAGCGCCTTCTGTCTTGCTCGCTCTACCTTCTTGGCTCTCTTGCGCTCCTGGCGAGAATTGTCACTCGCCGTCGAGTTCCCATGGAAGAACTTGGCGCGCAGATCGGCAATGAGAGGGATCAACGCCGTTCGCAGCGACTTAAAGCGCGGCAACGACTGGAAATGCTCATGAGCTTGCTCTCCGTGCAGCTTCTGCAGCGTTGCAACGCATGCCGCCAGCTCCTCATCGGTGACGTCGCTCATCACCAGCAATCTGAATGCTAAATGGCTACACGAAATAGTCCGTACTTTTTAAAGCTGTCACAATTTTTAGTCCTTGTTGACACTTCCTGCCAAAAAATGGAGCACGAGCACGCGGCGAGTTTGACGGCTCGCGCTGTGAAGAAGGCGCTGCCGGATCGCGCCATATTGACCAAGGATGCTCGACAGACACTAAACTCTGCAGTCAGCATGTTTACGTTGTATCTTTCCTCCATGTGCGTCGATAAATGTATCGTAACCTGCAGTGGATCAACTATCTAATAGTGTCGATAATTGCGTCAGAGCGCATGAGACGTCAGTGGCTAACAAGCGCAGTACCATCACGTTGAAGGACGTGCTGCAGACTTTGCGAGACGCAGACTTCGAGCACTTCATCGAGCCTATTGAGGCGTGTCTACAAGGTCAGTTAGCTTTGGATAATGGACATTGTGCCATTTACTGACAAGCTATTGGTGGCGCAGAGACAAAGGCTGCTGCAAGTCGGAAGAAGGACCAAAAGCTTGCGGCTGCGAAGGAAGGAGAGACTACGAACGAAGTGGCAGAGCAGCTGGATGAAGTGACCATTGACACGAACGAGGAGGACGGCGACGAAGATGAAGGCATGATGTCCGTGGAAGAGCCGTCGGATGCAGAGAACAGCGGCGATGCACATGAAGACACAGAGGAGAAGGAATCGGCTGATGCTACGATGCAGGATGAAGGCAAAACAGAACAGAAACCCGATGACCAGACGAGAGAAAAGAAGACAGAGGACGAAGACGACTCTGTAGAGGCGATGATACAATCATAAACGCTAAGCCAACACGATAAGTTTATTCCATGGCTACATCCTCGGTGGCTTCCACCTGTACGCCTCCTATGATCCCTCTGCGTTTGCCTGCGTGCTCAAGCACAGCCAGACCCGAAGTGGATATTGCGTCGAGAGCTTGACCATACTTCAGTCCAGACAGGAGCCCAATGTTGACGACATCATACGGAGAGCGCAGTAGAATGTCGCGTGTAGCACCGCTAGAGAACACCAAGTTCTTGCCACCTGTGAGACGCACGAGATTGCTGGCGTTGGAGAAGAAGTACCGTCGTCCAGCGGTATCTCCAAGACACGGCGTGTACGTGATCTCAAAGTAAATACCTCGCTTGATGGCAGCAGCAATCTGCACACCAAAGCGAGGTTAGAAATACCAAAACACGTTCAAATGACCCAAACGGTACGCACCAATGGCCGTTTGATCTGGAACGGAAGGCGGTTTGTGATATCGAAGGTGATCAGGTCGATGTCGGCTTGCTCACATAGGAACTGGAATACCTTGGGTGTCGCTGCTTCGGCCGCCACGATATCGTATCCCTTGACCACATCCGACGCTGTCTGTTCATAACAAAGTAACACAATAGAGCCATAAATTTAATGTCATAATAGCCACATCTACGCATTACTCACCAGCTTCTGTGCATCCGCCACCTCCTCTAGCTTGAGTGTGATGCGCTTGCGTTGCCTCGGGAGCTTCTTGTCCGTCGAGTTCGCGTCCTTGAGATGCAGCCCATTGCCCAGGGCTGCCGTGTAAAGTTTGGCTCTCTTCGTAACCTTACCGCTCTTGTCTTTCTGTGCTGATTGCGGCAGGTCCGGCAGCACCGTCACTGGTTTGGGCTTCTCGTTGCCATCGCAGTCCACGTTGACACACACAGTCGCGTAGCCCACTGGCGACAACAATGCAAAAAAAGCCAATCAGCTTCCAATTCGTTGCCACCGCACAGTTCCAGACCATAAAAGCCCGCACTTACATCGCTGTAGCTCGCCTGCCGACACTCTCGCCGTCGCGCGCACGTTCAAGTCCACATACACCATCACCACTTCAGCACTGCAATTAACATTTAACATCTAACTGTAATAATATCAAGGTAAGGTTCGTAAAAAGGATTCATATGTGTAATTACGCTTTTGCACTAAAAAACGTCCACTCACAATACATTTTAGCCAATGACGAGGCAACCGTCTGTGCGCCAGTCGATATACTCGGGCAGGTCGGAGCTGCTCCGTGTACGGGATCAGTATTACTGGAAACAATGGCTGACCAATCCGTGGAAGACAAGAACCTCGAGCTCGCTGCTCTGCGCAAGAAGCGCGCCTTCCGCAAGTTCAGCTACCGTGGCGTGGACCTGGACAAGCTCCTGGACCTGAACCATGAGGAGCTCATGGACCTGGTGAACGCCCGTGCCCGTCGTCGTTTCTCGCGTGGCCTCAAGCGCAAGCCGATGGCTCTGATCAAGCGTCTTCGTAAGGCCAAGGCTGCTGCCAAGCCCATGGAGCGCCCCGAGGGTATCAAGACCCACCTGCGTAACATGATCATTGTGCCTGAGATGATCGGCTCGGTCGTCGGTGTGTACAACGGCAAGGAGTTCAACGGCATTGAAATTAAGGTATGTCTCCAGAACTGATCGTGTCTCTCGGGGGGTGCGTGGCTTATTACCCGAAGAGTGGTGGAAACTGGTCTGTCATATTTGGTAGTACCGGTTTTCACCCAGCTGCCACCCTCTCCGACGTTCTGTGTATGGGGCGACCCAGGGAGCTTTCATATTTTATTTTTTAAGATGATCCTGGGGATAAAAGCTGTGGTGACCTAACGTATTCTACCTGTGATCTATGGCAGCCTGAGATGATCGGCCACTACCTTGGTGAATTCGCCATCTCTTACAAGCCGGTGACCCACGGTCGCCCCGGTATCGGCGCCACCAACTCCGGCCGTTTCATCCCGCTTAAGTAAGCGACTTGAAAGGTACACTGCAAGGCAGATGGATGTCATATTTGATGTGGTGTCTTCTCTGCTGCTCCCTTTGGGGTTGAGCCATTGTAATACACTCTTCTAACTTGGGAGATCCTTTCCGGAACTTATTGTGTGGGTGTGTTTACTTCTGTCTATTAGTGTCTTTGTAGACGTGGAGCTGGACTGGATGCGGTTGCAATGGGATGGAAGCCAGTGAAGTAAAACTCGCAATGTCCAACGATTCGATGGTGGAAAACAATCTTTCTGATATATTTGCACGTCAGTCTGAGGCTTCCATCCCAAGTATCCAATCTCGTCCAACCTTAGTTGTGGTATGTGGCCCTTTGCATGTTGCATTGGAGTTTGTCTGTTTGCTGATGATGACCAGTTCTCTCCTGATTAAGGTTGATGAAATCTTTTTATAATTCCAATTGATCCTACTGAAGGCAAACAGACAAACGTAGGAATATTAATTCAATCAGATTTAGGTTTTCAGAACACAATTGTTTTCAGAGCATAAAAAATTGATTTTTTTACATTGTCATCTACAGTTGTCATTTCCTCTCGCTGTTGCGTTTAGGTTGTTGCTGCAGTTCAGTCGAGATGTAGGGAATCGTTGTTTCTGGGTAGCTGGGATATCGTTTCTGGTTGCCGAATGTCACCACATACCCAGAAAAGTTCCTGTTGCTAGCGTCGTTGCTGCTGGAAGGGATTGAGCTTACTGGCAGCAAGTTTTCTTGAGCTTCTACTGACGAAGGTTGCATGTTGAAACCTGCTGCTTCGACGTAAAACAAATTAGAAATTAGATTTCCAAAAAAGTTTATCGAAGTAAGCACCAAATTCTGTACCTCTTCTTATCGTCGCCGCTGGGCTCCGACCGACAGCTTGAGACGACACAATACCAGCAGGGAGCTTCGTTTCGCCGAATTTGCCACTTACTTGCAATGAAGGAGAAACTACAAATATTGGTTAGTACTTTGAAGTAAAAAAACTTAAAAGGACACCGCGCAACTCACCACTTTGCTGATCATAGTGAACACTTGTTATCCGTCTTCGCATGCCGCTGCCAGCATACAATTGCTCACCTCCCACGCTATTGGACACATTCGCACCCAAAGCTGACGCCACTGTGGTGGTAGAAGACGACGGTAAGCTCGAGGCTGGATTGATATTGCCAACTTGCCAGCTGGATTGGCTTCCCAAAGTGTTGTTGCGATAGGAATTGTGTGTCGGCAGCACTGAACGGGAATTTACGTTGGATGAACCGGCAGAGATGGAAAGATCTACTTCATGTTCTGGCAGTGGAAAACTCGGTGCAGATGTCGGCATTTGTCCATGTGAAAAAAGTGGACTGTTGGTCTTTCGAAGATGTGAACCGGTCAACACTTCGTTGTAGATGCCTATAGGTTGAGGAATACCGATGGAAGTTGAGCCTTTTGTCGGTATACTCGATGGCGTCAAGACAAGTTGAGATGGATACACTGGACGGTTGTCCATTCCTCTATCGGATGCAGTCGCGGCAGCAGCGAACAGCATCTCGATCCGTTCCTTCTCATCGCTGTAAACGTCTTTACCGTCTAAAGTCTTAAGTGGATTGAGTTTATACAGCACATGTTGTCGATAAAGGTGTTTCTTGGTCAAAGGGTTATTGACCAGTTTCAAATTAACCATCGAAGGCAACGACGCGAGTTTCTCCACTTCCTCTAGATCGACAAGCCGGTTGTTCGATAACTCCAGAGTCTACAAGCATGAAGCTGTTAGTGGATTCTAGAAATATTTTAGAAAATATAAATAATGAAAGGGTACTAGCCTCTAAACTCAGCATGTTGTTGAAGTTCGACAACGACTTGAGTCCATTGTCTTCTAGATTCAAAAACTTCACCCGTCGCAAGGCGAGCGTTGACTCTGGATCAAGCTGACGGATGCGATTCTTATCCAGACGAATATCCACCAACTCCGTGTTACACTCTAATCCTGCAAAATACAGGATAGCGTTGCCTTGTAGATGAAGCACCTACAGCATAAGAAATAACATATCGTTATATTTGCACTGTTATTTCGCACAACAGGATACAAAGCATACCTTTAACGAGTCTAAGAACTGAAGCCCCAGCGTCGTCATATCCGTGATCAGATTGTAAGCAAGATGCAATTCTTCAAGATGGAGACAAGCTAAAATTCCTTTTCCTCCACCATCGCATGTGTCTGGTATAGTATAATCCGATGGTGAGCTGGATGGCGTAAGTTTCTCAATCTTGTTACGGTTCAGGTTCAAAATTCGCAGTCTGGGCAGCGCCTCAAGTCCCGAGATATCGCTAATCTGGTTGTTCTCGAGGTTAATTTCGCGTAAATTTGAGAAAATATCTCCCGAAATTCGCCCGATCTCCCGAAGTCGACACGATGACACGTCCATGTCAAGAATGCGACCGAGTTGACTTTCTCCGGACCTCGTGGGCGTCACAGAGCCACCACCTCCACACTTCTCCAGAATGAGTTCAAAAGTTAGCTTGCCACTGTATTTTTGCTTTGCGTTGCTTTGATCTTGTGTGGATACACTTAATCCATCCAACACTTTGACACGTCTGAGGTAGAAGACAGAATACAGACGATAATCCGGTAAGCGCATTATTTCGTTGCCCGACACGTCGAGAATCGTCAGTTTGGGCAGCGATTTGAGGTGCTGGATCTCCTTTAAGTTTTCGATTCGGTTGTTGGCTAAGTAGAGTTCCATGAGCTTTGAAGCGGATCCAAGACCTCGTAAACTGGATATCTGGTTCTCTTCCAGTGACAGCTGGATCAGGTTCTCGAGGGAGTCCAGATGCTGGATAACCGATAGCTTATTGCGTCCAAGATGAAGTTTTTTTAAAAAAGACAGCTGGTCCAGATTCTCCATCTTGGTGATCTCGTTGTCGTCCAAATAGAGCTCTTCAAGTTTAGTGCACACTTGTAGGCCATCAATACGCTTGATAGCGTTGTCAGAAAAAGACGCCACGCGTAGGTTTACGGCCTTGGACAGACCCTCTATTGACCCCAGTAATTCGTGATTTAGAACAAGATCTTCCACTGAACTCCATTCCCCTTTCGTGTCCCCCTCTTCGTCGGATTCAGGATGATTTGATGACTGAGAAGTTGAAGCAGCACAACGTGATTTTTGACAATGAAGCGCCCAAACTTTGGATGGTGAAAGTTGAGTTACCAGTCGCTGCGCCGTGAGTATTTCTTCTTGAGAGACCGATTGCTGATCCAGTTGAGCAAGTTTCGGTAAGCTCTGAAGCACGTGGAATCTGTAGCGTTTGGATTCACAAATTCCGTTCTTTCGAAGGTCCAAGTGCTTGAGAGAAAGCTTTCCTAGTGCCTGTCCAATGCGCTTCACATCGTCAAATGACCGGATCAAGTTGTGGGTTACTTCTAGAGTTTCTAAATTTGGCAGATTTTCGAGATGTTCTAGATACGGAATAGAGTTGTACGATAAATCCAATGTGATCAACTTTGAGAGACCTTCAAGATTACTCGTCGCTTGGATCTTGTTGTAGCTTAATACCAAAACTTCAAGGTGATCTTTCAGATAAGACAAGTCTGGAATCGCATCTAAATCGCACCCAACCAAACTCAGATACTTAATGCGACTGGTAATAGCCAATTGTAGTCGCGCTGACGGAGCGATCATCGTCTCACTTCCAGATAACAGCGGTTCCATTTGAAGCAAACGCAATATTCTGTCATCAGTAATGCTGTTACCAGGTAGTTGTGGGCTTATAGAGCGTCGAATACGGTACTTTCGTTCAAAACTGTCCACTTGCCTGGAAGCCATACCATGATTGACAGTATCTTCGTCATTACTGAGCTCAATTCTTGGCGATTGCGTCGGCCGGACGTCTGGTGAAGCACTACTTACCGGTGAGCTTAAGTGGTCATTATTGTAAATATACTGATATTCCACAAAGTATTCGGGAAGAACCAACGCGCCATCAAACACGTAGTACACTTTTTGTTTGCTTGTTGCCGCACCTCCATGCGTCACTTGAAGACTCTGAATACCGGTATAATCCTGAGTTTTTATGCTATTCGACCTTGAGGCTTTTGCGAGCGTAACATCCACATTGTTGATACATTTCGTGTATCCTGGAAACACTTTGGCCACAAGTAAAAGTCCACTGGGCAGCTCCCAGTCACCGGATGCCAGCAGCTGCATGGCTCTCTTCATATCTTGAGTTAAATTCAGCTGACTCGGTCGGGTTTCTCCGTTGCCTTGCACTTGTTGGCCCTTCGCAATCAGCGTCGCTGTGACTCGCGGTGTATCAAGCAAAGCAATCGAGTTGGTTAGCTTGATCGCAGCACCAAAATCCGTTGTGCTAAGCCCGGAATATCCACAAAATCCATTCTCAGCGATAAACAACTGCTCGGAGTCTGCAGGACTGCGTAGAAGTTGGTCTTCCAGTGACGTTGACTGAGTGTAAAACAGGTACTCCATAGCAGTCTCTAGCGTTGATACAGGACAGATATTCGAAGGCAGATTAATCTGCTCTTGGTCGTTTGTCTTGTCACTATCTCGTTCCCCTTCCACGTCATTATTGGGCACTGTCACTCCCTTCTTGGATACATTATCCTTTACTTTTTTATCAGGAGTTACAAGCACTTCTTCCAAGCGAGTCTGGAACCGATTCCGTAAAAACCGGTTGTTAATTCTCGTCACTCGATTTATTCGAATATCACAGATTCCAAATTTCTGCAGATCTGGAAGACAGAATCTAGAGCGAACCAATTCTACGCAAGATCCAAACCAAGCGTCTGTAGGTTTCCCGTCCTCAAGTCGAATGTTACCACCGGTCTCCAACTCCAGCATCAACCGCGCAACATTCATTTCAGACGTGCATCTTAGACTGATTCTAAGACGATCTAAATCTTGATCCATACGATGCACTGCAGTGTACCGATCCCGTAGACAAGAGTTGATACACTCCAGCTTCTTCTCCAATTTTCTCAGCATTTCTCGTGGTATATTATCGTTTTTCTCGACCACGAAGCGTTCGATCTCCTTCTTCTGTCGCACTAAAGCCGACACGCTCGTTTCCATGTGATTTTCTGCGTGGTTACGAATAGTCTCGGCGTGTCGGATTCGACTGTGCACGTCGCGTTTTATAGTCTTGATCCGCATGTTATAGTACATTTTCTTCTTGATCATTGTGGCCTCAGCGATCTGTTTGTTCCGTGCAGATAATTCCACGGTATCTAGAAAATTTAAGCGAGGTAGTTGACACATCAAATACGTCTGATAATTGCACAATCGACACACTGGATTGTCCCCGAAGTGGGGATCGCTCAGGACGAGCACCGTAAGTTGGTCCAGATTCTTAAGTGATAACAACCCTTTGAAACTCGATAACCTGTTGTCTGCAAGGTTGAGTTCCGTAAGATTCACGCAGCAATTTAACGCCGTATCAATGCGATCGATGCGATTCCGACAAGCCCAGAGTCGGGTCAATTTTGTTAATCTCCACAGCCCATCTAGTCTCTCCAAAAGGTTCTGGTTCACCCACAAGGTCTCCAGGTTCACAAGCGCGTCCAAATTTTCCAGCCGTCGGATTTTATTAGAACTCAAATTCAGCTGCTTAAGTTTCGTACAATTCGCCAGATTTGTAATTTTTGTCAACCCACACTCCGTAATACACAATTTTTCCAGATTATTGCAATAATTGGCACCTTCAAGTTCGCAAATTGTGGGCTGGTTGATGATCGAGAGCTCTTTCAGTGCTGGGAAGTACATGACGCTCTTCATGGACGCCCAAAAGCCCAGAAACATGTCCAAAGACGTCACTGACTCGCAAGTTCGCGCAAATTGCAACGCGGAGAGTCCGTTCTCTCTACATAACAATTCGAGATCCGGAGATGACGTGAAGATCTGCAGTTTCTCCTGTTGTGCGGATGACAAAGTCTCTCCAGTGTTCACAATTGTGTCACTTTGCATTGCATCACTTTCAGGTAACATGTCGTCATCGGTACTCGTATTGGAAAGATGCGGACTACCAGGAATGTTACGTGCGAATTGCTTGCTAGACGGTCGACGGGTCTTGGCTGACGGCTGACGCGGTGGAGGAGCCGCAATCGGCGGCAATGAACTCGAGTCCGAAGGTACGGACATATTGAGTGAGGTTGTCCCAAGCTCCGGCCGTTTTCTACCGATGTATTTTTGACTTCAACATACAAAATTTGTAATTTATAAATTGCAATTAGAAAAATGTACAATTCACCAAGTCGCGTTATTTACGGAAATCGCTAAAATGTTAAATTTCTATTTACTTAAAACGTAAGAACCACTATCTGACCAATGACGCTGACGAACCAAGTGCTCAAGCGGATACCGCACGACGTGTCACCCGAGCAGATCGTGACTGCGGTGGGCTATGGCTTCGCTCTATTGCTGCTTCTAGTGCTATCTATAATCTACCACCTCTACGGCTTCTTTGCAGTCTCCAGTATAACCTTTATCCTATTTTTTCTGGGGGTCCGCTGGGTTTACTTGAACGGTGTGGGGGTGCTGGGCTGGACACACCCTTGGTTACGCAACTCGGACGTCGTGATCGAGTCCTTATTCAGTAGCCCGCAACAGCAGGGGACGCTACGTGTGGTGTGTATCTCGGACACACACGGGAAGCACCGTAACCTCCGGAACGTTCCCGAGGGGGACATGCTGCTACACTGTGGAGACTTTACGAACCGCGGAACGCACGACGAAATCCGCGACTTTAATGACTGGCTGGGTACACTACCACACCGACACATAGTTGTGATTGCAGGCAACCACGACGTCTGTATGGACGCAGTCGAGTACGATCAGCATTGGGACAAGGCATTCCGTCATAAGGAGTACAACGACCCCAGTCTTTCAAGAGCACTACTGACTAACTGCACGTACTTGGAGAACCGCTCTGTGGTTATTGAAGGGGTGAAGATCTATGGGTCTCCTATGACTCCACCCATCCCTGGTCGAGCGGGGGCGTTCAATGTGGCACGAGGGTTTGCGGACCAGCAACATTGGGCTAAAGTCCCGGCGGATGTGGATGTGCTGGTGACCCATGGGCCTCCGCATGGGATTTTGGATACAACGTTTACGGGACTGCACGTGGGTAGCGAGGTACTGATGAAGGAGACGATGTCGAGGATTCGACCTAGTTTCCACATCTTCGGGCATATCCATGAAGCGTACGGAGCTACTCGAGTGGGGAAGACGGTGTTCGTGAATGCCGCGAGTAGTACATTGCTAACTAAGCCGCGTCATGCGCCTGTAGTGCTAGATATCCCAATCAAATGTTAGGTCGTTATCGTGATTATTGGACGCTTTGGAATATGGTGAATAATGTACTTAAGTATCCACAATCAAAATCCGACAGAAAACCAATGGAGTGACTTTGAGAATCCGATCCGTTGAGATGGACACAAGCAGTGGTGACCTGGTCAAGTCCTCCCAGAAACGAGGCATGTCGTGGAAATTCGGCGCAATTCTTGGTCCTTAGTTAGTGTCTCAAGCATCGTTCGGCTTCATGAGCCCTATCCTGTCCATCCACATGACAGAGGTAGAATTCGACTGCACTTGACTGGTTGACATTGAATTAATTTGCAATACAGTATTATGCCAGACATTACCGCGATGGTTTATCGATTAATTGTGAGGCCCATCCTCATAACCAGGTACTGTACGGCACCAACGTGATCAAATTGCTATCCCGCTTCTTACCGTTTAAGCTGCTGGTAGGCGTGTATTGGCGGATCAAGACAAGCTGCATGGCTGTCGAGGTACTTAACGCTTTAACTAATTCGCTTAAAGCTTGTTTTAACTATGCTGTCGTAGCATTTACCTGGCTATCGGATCCGTGCTCAGTTTTTCCTGTCCCCAATGCTCGGACAAGCTTCAGATATCTATGGACGCAAGGTAAACTCAGAGCGCTGTGTACTGCTACAAAATGCCAACCTCAGTACTTTTGCTATAGCGATTCCTAGTCTTGAGCCAAATCGCGAGGGTTGGTTTGCCATTCTCCGTCATGTACTTTATGCAGCCTCAAGGCTCCATTACTCCTTACTTTGTATTGAGACTGATAGACAATGCCTTTGAGTACGCAGGCAACTGGTTTCGTCCCGACCAGCAAGTTTGCTGACATTTCTTCTTTTGTTTTTGTCCAGGACCGGCGGTGTCATGAACGCTGCAGCCGACGTCGTCTCTCCTGACTACCGTGTGACTGCGTTTGGCCTTCTTTCTGCCAGAATCGTTGTCGACTATTGCTCCAGTGCTTTCATTGCCCCCATTCTTCTCTCGCGTTAGTGCATTAGTGAATTTGTTAACATTTTTTCTGATTTCTAACCTTCGCGCTGAACACGAAATGATTCTCCAAATCACTTGTGGTATTTGTTGGACATTGATGTAAGAGCCAGCCAACGGGCAGGCGACCGGAAGCCAGACCCCCAAGGACCTTTACGCAAGTGTCGAGTCGACAATGTTGAAGGTACGACATTTTGACTTGGTTTCACTATTGGGACCAATCAGAGCGAGTGTAGGCGCGTGTCTTTTCAGGTTATTGTGTAGCGTGCATGTAGAATCCAACTAAAAACTCCTTTGTTTATATATTTCTCACTGTCACTTCTACCTTCTGCCGAGCAAGTGCCAAACCAACAGGTTATGAGCCCAATTGTCAACAACTCAGACGCAGACGCTGATACGGAGGCAGTCCCCGCCTCCCCCGCCGCCCACGAAAGGGGCGAAGAGCATCACGTAGAGAAGGTCACGCCGGACGCTGGAGCGCTCGCGGCTCTCATCACGAAGCTGACGACCAAAGTGGACAGCTTAGAGCGGTCGCTGGAGACGCACCAGCAGCGTGCGGCCGTCACGCCACCCGGTGCGGGGGCTGGGCTGGGCCAGAGCGTGTACCGTCCGGCACTGCAGCACGGAGGCAGCTTGGGCATGCAGCGCATGCAGCTGCATGAGCTCGGCGCGTCGAACTTCGGCATGGGTGCGCAGACGCCTGGGGTGTATGGTGGTCTTGGTGCTGGGCAACAAGCAGGAGGCACACCGTTCCAGGCCCAAGCAGCAGCTCAACAGGCGCCACCGCAGCAACAACTAGCTGCGCAGTACCAAGCACATCGACCTTCGCCGCTGCATCTCAACGAGAGAGTGCCGCCTGCCAAGGATGCGAAGCTCTTCATGCGAAACTTCGACGGCAGCGAGGTCTACAAGGGACTTGGGAGCGGCTTCGAGCAGTGGGCGCTGCTGTTCATTGAGCAGATCGAGATGGCGGAGCAGGCGTGTGGCTACGCCTGGCCTGAGCGCTACAAGGTGAACAAGTTCGGCCAGTATCTACGTGGTAAAGCTGAGCTCTTCTTCCAGCAGCACATCATGCGCTGGTGGACCACGCAGCCGACGCTCTGGTTTGTGATGGATCAGATGCACTTGTCGTTCAAGCGGGCACTCTCGACGCAACAAGGAATGAAGCTCTTTGGCGCGAAGAAGGACCTGTCGCGATCGTGGAATGAGCACTTCTTGCACTTGAAGGCTCTCATGATGGCAACGAACGCGTCACCAACGCTAGTGCTGGAGAACATCGTCAAGTACGCGGATCCGGACTTGAGGCACGCCTTGATGGCCAAGTGTGACATCACGCGGCCGGATCCTCTCCAACAAGCGAATGAATTGGTCGTTTGGGCGCAGATAATGACCGATGAAGATCGAGCGCCAAAGCATCTTGGTAAGGAAGTCGTGAACGCAGTGGCTGAGTCCCAAGAGGAAACGCGGCGATGCCACAAGTGCAAGAAGGTTGGACACCTGAAGAAGAACTGCCCAGATCGCTCCGCTAGAAGCAACAATGACCAGCCAGTAAAGTTCGCACTTGCCGCCGGTAACGACTTCAAGTCCGTAGACGTTACGAGCTGGATTCTGGACAGCGGTGCCAGCCGACATCTTGTCAATGATCCTGCGCTACTGGCTAACGTAGTGCAGTGCTCTGGTGAGGACACCTGCATGTTACCGGATGGGCGAACGATGGACGTAGCCAAGAAAGGATCGGTGATTTTGAGAGCTATTGTCGACGGAGTCGCGGCTGAGGTGGAGCTCAGTGAGGTCTACTACGCACCAAAACTCGCGCAGAACCTGATCTCATACGGACGGCTGATAGCGAAGGGATGCTCTTTCACCAAGCGCAACGGAAAGTTGACGCTGATGAAAAGCAACGAAGTGGTATTCTATGTCGACGTAAAGCACAACGTGCTTGTGGCTAGACTTGAATCGGTAGCTACGAAAAATGCTAAGATGGAGCAGCTGATCATGAACGTGGTGGATACGAGTACGGACACAGCCTCGCCGGTCGTCGCCACGGACACGTTGATGGGCTTCCATGCACGTTTCGGTCACTTGTCATTGGACACCATTGAGCGTATGGCAAATGACCCCGCATCCGGCATCAAGATATCGAAACGTGACCGTAAGCCCTGCATGGTTTGTGCTGAGAGTAAACAGACTCGTGCGAATCAACCGACTAAGGACACCGGGGAGCACGCACCGATCGACAAAGTCGGAGGAGTCATCTGCAGTGACCTGAAGGGTCCCATGACGCCACTTGACCGCCAAGGTAACCGCTACATGGTTAACTTCGTGGACCACAAGTCGAACTACTGCAAGGTGTTCATGGCGAAGAAGAAGAACCTGGCTGCAAAGAAGTTCGAGGACTTTCTTGTCGAGTTCGAAAAACGGTTCGACGTTCGCGTGCATGTTCTCCGCACGGACGGTGGAGGAGAGTACCGAAACGTGGATCTCTTCTGCAAAGAAAACGGAGTGGCTCGTCAGGTGTCAGAAGTCGGCAACCAAGCTGCAAACGGCAAGGCGGAGCGGATGCATCGCACGGTTCTCAACATGGCTCGGTGTATGGTGTTCGGTGCAGGATTGCCGCTGAGCTTCTGGGGTGACGCGGTTGAGTACGCGACGTACGTGCTGAACCGGAGCTCGTCACGCGCTAACGAGGATCGGAAGTCGCCGCTCGAAGTGCTGACTGGCGAAGCACCAAACCTTCGCGACATTGTCATGTTTGGATCAAAGTGCTCCGTGTTTCGTGACCCCGGAAAGCGCGCCATGAAGAAGAGGGCGTGTGAGGGCGTCGTCGTCGGCAAGGACGAATCGACCAAGGGGTACAAGGTGTACCTGCCTTCGGAGAACAAGGTGATCGTCACGAGGCATGTGCAGAACATCCGCGCGTTGGAGGAGAAATCCGATGTGAAGCCACCAACTGTTCAGGCTCTCACGACGACGACGCCACCGGCACCACGTTTCACACCACGAAGATCTCGTCGCTCACGCCGCAAGTCGCGCCGCCGTGCTGAAGCTGATGGAGACGTGGAGGTTGACGAGTCGAGACTGAACACTGAGCCTGTGGTTTTGACCGTATCCGAAGTTAAGGACGTCAATGCCCACGCTGATGACCCGGAACCGAAGAACTACAGGCAGGCACGGAAGTGCGCCGAGAGCGCGCTTTGGGAGGCAGCTGAAAAGGAAGAACTTGAAGCTCTACAGGCGAATAACACGTGGAAGCTGGTCAAGTTCGAGCCTGGTAGCATTCGCTTGCATACTAAGTGGGTGTACAAGAAGAAATGAACAGGCACGGGTTTGATCGAGCGGTACAAGGCTCGACTAGTCGCCTGTGGCAACGAGCAAAAGTTCGGCGTAAACTTCTTTCTCGTGTTAGCGGCTGTGATTACCATGACTGGTGTAACGGGCCAGGTATTTACTCCGTTACTTGCTTACACTATAGTGTTGAGGAAGCTCGCAATAGGACGACTGAGTCTTAGGTTTAAGGAAAAATCAACTCTGACTTTATTTTAGGACCAAGGCCACAGCCCTGGCCACTCAAATACACGTCATAGTCCAATTGGCTAATAATGGGTCTGGCTCCTCATATATCAGCCAATGGCATGACAGAATTTCAGCACACGCTAGTCGTGTGCTGATGCACCTACTTATGTAAAGAAAGCTACCTACTTATGTAATGGAGGGGCCCATTACATTACCCCCCTTTTTAAAGTTGCACTTACGCAACATAAGCACTGATGAAGAACATTGGAGAAGACGGCTGGAACGGCGGAGACAGCGGCGACATCGGCGACAGTCACGACATCAAGCCACTGGCGTATCAACAAGAGACACCACGCTCGGCAGCGAGCGTGCAGAGCGAGAAGCCATCTCAGACAACAGCTTGGAGGCCACCGTCGCTGGCGCTGGTGTCGACACACGTGGGCTTCGAGGCGCCAGGTGAGGTTCTGGTGGAGTGAAGCTTGGACCTT